CGTTGTTCACGTGACCGCGCACACGCGTCCACTGTCGGAACGCGCGCACGAGTGGCGCCGCCTTTGCATCATGAGCAAATGGATTTCGGACACCATTCATTGCGGTCACACACTTCATTTTCAGGCCACTCCACCTCCCTTCAACGGGATCGTGGAGACGACGTTCACATCGCAAGTTCAGTCTCAGGCGCTAGAGCTGGAGCTGCGGGAACTTCTGTCCAAAGACGCTATTTCCCGAGTCCCTCGCGGACAAGAACTCTCGGGTTTCTACTCCCGCTACTTCGTAGTACCGAAGAAGTCGGGAGGAATGAGGCCGATTCTCGACCTGTCCCTGTTCAACTGCTCCATAGCAGTAATGCATTTCCGCATGTTAACGATGAGACAAGTCCTGGAATATGTGCGCCCCGGGGATTGGTTCACGTCAATCGACCTGAAAGACGCATACTTCCACATACCAGTAGTTCCAAACCACCGGAAGTTTCTGCGTTTTTCGTTCAAGGGAGTTCAATATCAGTTCAATCGCCTCCCTTTCGGCTACTCGCTAGCCCCGCGCACTTTCTCCAAATGTCTGGAGACCGCGCTGCAGCCACTGCGCACGGAGGGAATGAGGGTCTTATTTTACCTGGACGATCTTCTCCTGTGCGCTCGGTCCGAGGACGAGGCGTCACAGCAAACCAGGAGGTTGACAGAGCATCTGTCGACCCTAGGGTTTTCTATAAACTGGGAAAAGAGCTCCATCCTTCCATCCCAGTCGATTGTGTATCTCGGGGTGGAGTTGGACGCGTCCCTAATGAGAGCACGTTTGTCGCCTGCAAGAGCGGCAGATCTCTCCACGGTGATCTCCCGTGTTCAACCCCACAAGATCGTGAGAGCCCGGTTAGTCATGAAACTCCTGGGCATGATGTCCGCAGCCCATTCAGTAGTGCCGCTAGGTTTGCTGCGCACGAGGCGCTTGCAACGCTGGTTCGTCCGCCTCCGGGTACACCCAATACGTCAGAAGAGACGTATGTTGAGGATTCCCCCTTCAGTGGGCGGGGACCTCGCTCACTGGGGGAACCCCTGCATCCTCTCACGCGGGGTTCCCATCGGACGTCCTGCGTCACACGTATCTGTGTTTACGGATGCGTCACTGTCGGGGTGGGGGGGCACGTGCTTGTCCCATACGGTGGCAGATCGCTGGCCCTCCCACACGCACGAGCACATAAATGTGTTGGAGCTTATGACAGTGAGGAATGTGATCAGACACTTCGCTGCCCTTCTCGAGGGCCGTCATGTCGAAGTTCACACAGACAACCGGGTAGCGGCAGCCTACATAAATCGCCATGGGGGAGTTCGATCCCTCCCACTGTTGCGTGTCGCCACAGATTTACTGTGTTGGACACATGTCCACCTGCTGTCCATCAGAGCCATCTACATTCCGGGGGTACTGAATGTAGCGGCAGACATTCTGTCGAGAGGGGGACCCCGCGACTCCGACTGGCGTCTACATCCTGCACTGATATCACAGATCTGGATCAGGTTCGGGGAACCGTCTGTGGATCTGTTCGCGGCTCGCGAAAACGCTCAGTGTCGCCTGTGGTTTTCCCTGAGTCCCCGGGACGGACCCCCGCTCGGGGCGGACGCCTTCTCACACCAGCCCTGGCCTCGAACGCTCCTTTACGCGTTTCCACCAGTCCCTCTGATTCCCCGTCTCCTGGACCGAATTCGGTCGGAACAGCTCTCGGTGATTCTGGTGGCTCCCAGGCGCGTGTCCGCGTCATGGTTTCCGGACCTGCAAGCGCTAGTGTCCGGCTCCCCGTGGAGGCTCCCGTGGAGAGCGGACGCCCTTCTCCAGGCGGATGGGATAATCAAACATCCTCCGGAAATAGGCCCACGGCTGTGGGTCTGGCCGCTGAGCGGTCACGCTTAGAGGCTTCTGGGCTGCCGCATGATGTGGTGGCCACGATTCAGAGTGCGCGGGCGCCCTCTACCATTGCCTCTTACGCTGCTAAATGGGCAGCTTTCCAGAACTGGTGCGCAGAACGGAATGTTCAAGCGCTCTCCTGCCAGCTGGCGGATGTCCTATCGTTTTTGCAGATACTGATGGACAGGGGCCTCGCATTCAGCACTGTTGAAGACATATGCTGCAGCTATCTCATCATGTCATCAGGGTTTTGGAGATAGATCTGTTTTCAATCATCCCCTCACAAAACGTTTTCTAAAAGGTGTCAGAAGGAACATACCTGTGTCCCGCCCGTTTTTTCCCCAATGGGATCTAACGGTGGTTCTGCACGGCTTATCTGAAGCTCCATTTGAACCCTTGGACCAGGTCTCACTCAAGTTCCTGTCGCTTAAAACTGCATTGCTGCTGGCGCTAGCATCAGTTAAGAGAGTGAGTGACCTAACCGCCCTCTCAGTGGCTCCCGCATGCCTCAGGATCCGGGAGGATGGCGGGTCTACTGTTTTATGCCCCAACCCAGCCTTTGTGCCCAAAAGCATTAATGCTTCCTTCAAATCCAGGTCAATTTCATTGGCTGGACTTTTTCCTCCTCCCCATAATTTTGAGGAGGAGGCGGCTTCTCACCTTCTCTGCCCGGTGCGCGCGCTTGTACGGTATGTGTCACGCACTTCGGAGATTCGTCGCTCACAAAACCTGTTTGTGCACTACAGGGAGTCTCCCCTTGGTCAGGCGCTGTCGGCCCAGCGCCTTTCACGCTGGCTGTGTGACGCCATTTCCCTCGCTTACACATCATCAGGGCGGGATCCCCCTGAGGCACTCAGGGCTCACTCAGCCAGAGGGATTTCCTCTTCGATGGCGCTCCTCAGTGGTGTGTCAATGGAAGACATTTGTCAGGCTGCTTCATGGGCTTCACCCTGTTCCTTTACTCGTTATTATTTACGAGATGTGTCTTCAGGTTCCATCACTCGTTCAGTGCTTGGACCCCAGCAGGCTGAATGAATGCTTATGGCACCTCATTGGCCTTGCTGAGATGGATTTTATCCTCTTGTGGATGATGTTTTTTTTTTAGTGGGGGCCCCTCTCTTATGTGCCTGCCTCAGTCTTTAGGCCTGGTCTGAGGCTGAACGTCCCCCACTAGAGGAGATTTGATTGGGTGTGTCCATTGGTTGTGTTAACCAGTGGGGCGTAAACCCATCCAGCTGCGCTTTATTCCAATAGCAGCTAGCTTAAGGGCTAAGACTAGACGAAATAGAACGTTGGTTACGTATTGTAACCCCAGATTCTATGAGTCTAGTCGCAGCCCTTAAGCCACTGGCCCCACTGGTTCTGATGGGAATAAGAGCCATTGGAGGTGAGCAGTGGGGTCACTGCGGTTATATACCACGAGGGGGCCCACTATTGGTGGGCGTACATTTAAGCTCTTCATGATTGGCTGATGCGGAGATCATCCTTCCAATAGCAGCTAGCTTAAGGGCTGCGACTAGACTCATAGAATCTGGGGTTACAATACGTAACCAACGTTTTTCAGTATGTTACAGACAATAATTAACTTTATCACAATATGCAAATTTTGAGAAGGACCTGTATGAAGGTGCCAACACAGGCCTTTTCTCCCAATAGCCCAAATATGCAATAAAAACTTTTGATGCCATCATTTTGATCACAAATGCATTAATATAAATTGAAAAACAATAAATTATGTTGGTTATACATCAACTCTGATCTATTACAGATCAAAGGTCAGTACATCAGCCTGGTGGCTGTTACCCATGAAGTAGAGCGTAGCTTCACAATGGTGAATCCTGCTGAAGATGATCAGTCAGCTGTTTCCATTTCTGTTAAACGGGAATTAGGCAGTTTTGGCTTGCTATTAGCACCCCCTAGTGTGCGTTTGGAGAACCGAAACCAAAACATATCTCCTCGCTGTGCGTTTCTTTTTAACAACTTCATCCAACAGCTGAAACACCTCCCAGCCTTCATTACTGTCTACAGGAGTGAGTCATCACTAAATGAAACAAATCAGCTGTGTTCATGATCTAAACCATCCTGGAAGCAAACTGCAGCTCCAGGTATGTCAGCTCCTTTCTTCCTAAGTGTCAACAGAGCAGCCCACCAGTCGGAAGTTGCAATTAGAATATTCTGGCCGCAGGGGTCGGTAGGCCTTTCATCGACCCTGTACAGGGTCCTTTTAGCACACAGTGGCTCGAGAAAAGGATTTAAAAATATGAAAAAGATGCAAAGTATCCCTTTTTACCTGAAATGTCTTTTGTCATCCATCCACCCATCAACTAATTAAAAAACAAAACACGTCTTTAATAAATTATATTTATAAATAAACCCTCCAATTTCACCCTCACCCGCGTCCCTCGGGGGGCCCTGTGGGGGGTTGTCCGGGAGTACGGGGTACCAGGCCCTCTGATACAGGCTGTTAGGTCCCTGTGTGGCCGGTGTCAGAGCTTGGTCCACATTGCGGGCAGTAAGTCGGGCTCGTTCCCAGTGAGAGTTGGACTCCGCCAAGGCTGCCCTTTGTCACCGATTCTGTTCATAACCTTCATGGACAGGATTTCTAGGCGCAGCCAAGGTGTGGAGGGCATCCGTTTTGGTGGCCTGAGGATCAGGTCTCTGCTTTTTGCAGATGATGTGGTCCTGTTGGCTTCATCAGAACGTGATCTCCAGCTTTCACTGGAGCGGTTCGCAGCCGAGTGTGAAGCAGCTGGGATCAGAATCAGCTCCTCCGGGCACGTCCAACCGGGAGGAGACCTTAAGGAAAACCCAGGACACGGTGGAGGGACTATGTCTCTCACCTGGCCAGGGAACGCCTTGGGATTCCCCGGAGGAGCTGGCGGAAGTGGCTGGGGAGCGGGAAGTCTGGACCTCCCTGCTTAAGCTGCTGCCCCCGCGACCCGACTCCGGATAAGCGGCCAAAAATAGATGGATGAATTTTTAATTTCTTGTGCTTGTGAAGCGTCTTGAGGGAGGGCTTGTTGGAGGGTTTTAAAGCACAAATCAATACGGTAATCCTAATTTCTATAACATTTTTGTTCAGCTTCAACAACATCAGTTACTGTCCTGGATTTATTGAGCAGAGCTGTACAGAAACTGGGTTTAACACGTTGGCGTTTTCGTCCTCAGCAGTTAGCTGCTCATCTCTTCAGAAGGCTGGTGATAGCTTTCATCTCATCAGAGGATAGAGGAGACAGATTATAACCTCTCAGCTCAGGATTTCCTGAAAGCAAGCAAACAACAAAGAAAAAATATCACAAACAACAAATGCTCTACAGACAAACATGAGGTGCTTCAAAGGATCAACTCAAACAACAAATAAATGTTTTCCAAACACCCATCAGCTCCGGCACCGCCATCACTCACGCCAGCTGCTCGTCGTGTGAGATCAAACCAACAACACCAACATCACTGATAAGCTTCAGGTGCAGGTGCTAGCAGAACAGCCACACGAGTGGTTCATGCAGGTGGGGCTCAGCACACGCCCCTGTGGAGTGAAAGTCTGAAATAAATAAAACCGTGATCATGTGATCCTCAAATCTGATCTCCTTTCCAGCGTTCCTGACTGACCCGGGATCTGTTGTGTCTACTATTGTACAGGTCCGGGGCGAGCCCAGTTGGGGGGTTGGGCGTGTGGGCTGCAGGAGCCCAGTGACTGAGCTGACCACACGGGGAACTTGGTCGTTTTTCCAGGGTTTTGTCCTTTTCGTGGCCCGACCACGGTCATTTCTATTTACAGCTGTGGTCGTCTGTCGTTGTCTGAGTGTGAGACGGAGAGGCTGAGCCGTCCACTTCTTGCAGGAACTGAAAATAATTTATTATTGTGACGCTTCTCTTTCAGAAGCCGCCTGAATGTTTCAGAAGACAAAAACTGTTACGGTAAGCCAAAGAACGCGTGAAAAATGTGTCAGAGCGGTGTTTTGTGATAAAACGGGTCATCACTACTAACTCTTTCTCCACTCAGATCCAACAACTTATCACACGGAAGGATTCACAACACCTGTTGGGAGACAGCTGGTACTTTGGGCCGACAGCTCACTGAACTAGAACCTTTAGTTCTGAAACAGACACTCAACCCTAACCCAGCACCAGATGGACTCCAGCAGCAGAAGACCACACCAGCTGTCAGCCAACAACAGGAACCTGGGCCTCAAATCCCCACAGCATCACCAGAACAGGACCGGAAAACGTTGCCTGGTCTGACGAGTCTAGACCTCCAACACCAGGATCCCAGAGTCGGTGCTTTTTCATCGAGTTCCTGATTATTTTCTTTGCAGTCAGAGTTTCTTACTGTTTGTGCCTCATAATGAAGAGAAGTGTGCTCACTAGGATGCAGTTCACGAACAACAATGTCCTGCTATGAAAATGGACCTCTCATTAAAACAATATGAAGCTGGAGGATTAGTTTCCAGTGTTGCTTTTCTAACAAACGATAAATATTTTCTAAATGAGCACACTAAACGTTTAGGAAGTGTCCGAGAGACTGCAACCAAATTAATGGTCACATTTATTATCATTATTATTATAATAACCGGAATAATAAACTCTTTAAAAAGCTTTAGCTTTCATTTAGTGCCCATAAAATAAATGTTAAATGAAGAAATGGTTCCAGGTCCATTCTGATCCGGAGACTGCTGTTTTGTGAGGATCTATGAGGTGAACAAGGGTCTGTAGTACCGGTGCTTGAATCATTAGTGTGGTGGATGGAACCGCTGATGTATCACAACACACATACCTTCGATCTCGTTGAGACGACCGACTTTAGTTCTCAGCTCTTTGCGAAGGTGGTTTATTTCCTTGTCCAGCTGCTCTTGGTCTGCAGGTTGGAGAAACGGCTCAGACTAAATTCGACTCGTGTTAAAAACGGAAGATCTAACTTGTAAACGATAAAGGATCACCTTTCCGGATCATCTGCGTCGTTTTAGACTTGGAGAACTTGATGAACATGTTTCCAAAGCAAACCTTGACTTTTTCTGTGGACGGCAGCAGAGGCGGCCATTACTCCTTCATCACCAGGGTCACCAATAAACAACCACGAGTTTCATAATTAGCCTGAGATTATTTACAGATTACACGTGTTCCTTTAGGCAATAATAAAAGACGGATGTTCCAGCTTTATGGGAACGTTTGGTTGTTGTAGCTACAAGGGTTCCTCTGTGGTGTTCTGGTGGCCTGAGTGCTGATGGATCACAAACCTTTATCCGACATCTCATGTTTCAGTGCGTTCAGCGCCTCTCTGTTGAAGTTTCTCTTCATGTCCAGGTCAACAATCTGAAACACACACACACGTTTGTTTTAAGGGAGGACATTATTAACTGGGATATCCGTGCGTGTGTGTGTGGTTTTAGAACAACAGTTTTCTTCAGATATCATGAACGCACCACCTGACTGGACCAGCTACAGAAGGACATTTGACTCTAGACAACATCGGTGTGGTGACGGGTAAATGAAGTGTTGAACCAACACCAGAACTTAGCTCTCTTGGCTCCAACCGCTAAAATCCTCATGCATAAAGCTGCTAACGCACAGAACTGCGTCTGAAAACCGCGTACGTCACATCCACTCACACTTGTTAGCATGAAGCTAGCAGCTGTAACCCTTTTTTTTTTTTTTTTTTTTTTTTTTTTTTTTTAACATTTTTTTTTTATTGCAGAAAAGCATATTTACATTACAAATAAGGCGAACATGCCAATGTATTCAGATGAGAATTGAACAGTCAGTGAAAAGGGGGAGGACAAAAACAAACAACAAAAAAAACAACACTAAAACAATGCAAGGGACCACTACACAGTTCCAGGAAGTCTACAAAAAAGTCTATACATATCTTCATAGCTGTTATTATTGATACATTTAAGGGATCTTAGATACAATCTAAAATCATGTACAAATGCATTGAACACAGGGGGTGATTTCAGTATTTTTTGTTTATGTATGAAGAATTTTGCCAGACAGAGAAGTAGATTGTAGCAGAGTTCTTGGTTGTTTGTTTGAAGGAGAGTTCCAAAGGTGACGACATCTCTTGAAATGGGACATGGGATTCCAATCTGAGGTTGAATCCAGTTTTCAAAACAGTTCCAAAACGTCCGTGTCTTGTTGCATTCAAAGAAAATATGATCAGTTGTTTCAACATCCTTCCCACAAAAGGAACATGAATTATCATCAATGTTAAAACGTTTTCTGAGCAGATCCTTTGAGGGATAGACATTGTTTAGAATTTTAAAATGCGTTTCTTTGACTTTAGGTTGAACAGGAAGTTTTAAATAAAGAGTCCTTAGTTTAATAATGGAGCTTTTACCAAATTTGTAAATTATGTTGTTCTTGTTGACTTTACAAGGGTAGAGTTGATCAGTAAAACACCGTCTAATAAATTGGTTGGTACACTTTTTATCCGTAAGGGGAATACCTTGGATGGAGATAGAACCATACTGTGGATTTATAGGTTGGTGTTGAATAATGTTTCTGTACTGGAAGACCACCTCTTTAGGAAGCGCTATTAATAATTTTATAAAATCAGATTTAGGAGGGCTAAAGTTATATTTAAGACAAAATTCATCGTACCCTAGTAGTTCACCATTATCTTTCATCAAGTGTACAACAGACCAAATTTTCCTATTCATCCAATCTTCATAAAATAGTGACCTATTACGGCATAATACATATCTATTGTTCCAAATTATAGAAGAGTGAGGGGAATAATTATGTACATACAACAACTTCCAATACATTAGTACTCGTTTGTGGAACTCTGATAATTTTGTGGGCAGTTTGTTTATATCAAAATCTGATAACAGTAAAATTTTTAGACCACCCATTTTGTTAAATATATGACTGGGGATAGAATACCAGAAAGCGTTCGGATTCTTGAGCCAAGATTTTAGCCAATTAATTTTGAGTGTTCCGTTAAGGCAATTGAAATCTATTACTTTTAAGCCTCCATCTTTAATTTCTTTGACCATTTCATCTTTCTTTATATAGTGTGGCTTATTTCTCCAAATGAAGTTAAAATTGATGGTGTTAATCTTTTTAATTAGGTTGTTTGAAATTGCAGTACTGCAGGTTGGATAAACTAATCGAGATATACTCTCCATTTTGGTTAAATAAATGCGCCCTAATATGGAGAGATCCCTCTGAAGCCAAATATTTAGTTTGGCTTTAATTTCATTAAGTTTATTTGTTATGTTTGTCCTTAGGTTAAATTGTTGGTCTTTAGAAATATATGTTCCTAGATATTTAATTTCAGATTTGATGGGAATGTTACAAATTTCTTTTAGAGGGGAGTCATGAATAGCCAATAGTTCACATTTTTTCAAATTTAGCTTAAGTCCACATGCTGCAGAGAATAGCTTTATTTTATCAATAGCAATAGGAATTTGTTTATAATCTTTTAAGAAAAGCGTGGTGTCATCCGCTAATTGACTTATGATCAACTCTGTGCCAAGGACATTTAACTTTTTTAGATCCACACAGTTTTTTAAGTAGATTGCTAACATTTCACTAACTAATATGAAAAGGCAAGGAGAAATTGGGCAGCCTTGTGGTATGCCCACAGAGACATTGAACCTGGGGGTGGAACCTCTGGGTAATGAAACACAGCTGCTAATATTCCGATACAAACCTCTGATTAGATTAGTAAACTTAACGCCAAAGCCAAGATGTTCTAGAACTGAGAAGATAAATTGGTGTTCCACTGAATCAAATGCTTTATAGAAATCTAAAAATAATATGAAACCGTCATCATTTATCATATCACTATATTCAATAATATCCATTACCAATCTTATATTGTTGTGAATAGATCTTCCTTTTAAAAATCCTGACTGTGTTTCCGAAACAATATCTGAAATTCCAGATTGAACACGTATCTTGAAAATGTAAGTCAGAAGTTTATAATCTGTATTTCTTAGGGTAATTGGTCTTCTGTTTTCGATAATCCTATGGTCTTTATCTGCTTTTGGAATTGATATTATTACACCATGTCGCATTGTAGGAGGGAGATCGCAGGATTCAAAAATCTCTGAGAAAACACCAAACAGTAAATCTTTTATTTCTTCCCAGAAATGATGGTAGAAGTTGGCTGTAAGTCCATCTGGACCGGGAGCTTTGTTCAGGGATAGTCGCTTCACAGCTTTATCCAGCTCTAAGCTTGTTATATTGTCATCACATAAAAGTCTGAAGTCATCATTGATTTTAGGAATATGCATTTCAATACTGTTCAGGAAGTTATTACAATTTTCTTCAGAGAATTTTGAGGAGTACAAATTGTCATAAAATTTAAGAATTTCCTTTGAAATTATCTCGTCATCTGTAATTTCTATATTATTTATCAATATTGATTTTATACTGTTCTGTTTTTGTCTCCTTTTTTCCAGATTACAGAAGTATGCATTATTCTTTTCACCCTCCTCAATCCACTTTGCCCTAGACCTAATAAATGCACCTTTTGCTTTTTGAGTATACATTTCATCTAAAGTGGATTGAAGATTCCGAATCTTTTGTTTGTCATCCTCCGTAGGGCTAGAATTGCTGCAGTAAAAATTCAGTTCTTTAACAAGATCTATCTCTTTCTTCTGAGATTCTCTTAAAATTGTTTTGCTAAATGAGATTGAAAATTGTCTAACTTTATATTTGAAAAATTCCCATTTCCGTACTGAAGTGTCTAGTTCTTCTGACGTAATAACACCTGACAGAATAGATCTTATCCCGTCACAATAAGAATCATAATTTAGTAGAGTGGAGTTCAATTTCCAATATTTAGTTGTCCCCCGAGTGGAAACCTTTGGTTTTAATTGTAGATAAATAAGACAGTGATCTGTCAGAGGTGCAGCGGAGATATCAGTATTGATCTCATATGATAGTAAATCATTAGCCACAAGCCAGTGGTCAATTCTGGATTTATAATTTGTGTTGAACCATGTGAATCTAATTGTATTTGGGTTAAGATGACGCCAAGCATCCACTAAATTCTGTTCATAGCAAAAGTTATTAAGGATGGAGTTTGGGTGACTTGAGGAATATTTAGAGGGCCATTTATCCAAAAAATCATCCTGAACCATATTAATGTCTCCCCCAACAATGACATTGTTGGTGGAGTATGATACTTTAAGATGCTCAAGCTGTGAGGCTATTACTTCTAACAGTAGTTTATTTTGGTGTATAGTATTGTACCCATACAGATTTGTTAAAATAAATTTTGCATTATCAATATCAATAACAAGGATTAACCAGTGACCATGTTCATCTTTGTGTTGAGCGATAACTTGGCCCTGGAAGTTTTTTAGTAAAACAGCGACCCCTGCTGACCTCGAAGTTCCGTGGCAGAAGTAAGCTCCGTCGCCCCACTGTTTAGACCAAAAAGTGTTGTCCTCAGGCTTGGAGTGAGTTTCTTGTAGTAATACTATATTAGCATTTTTCCCTTTGCAAAACAGGAAAAGACTTTTCCTTTTAGTTATGTTTCTTAATCCCCTTGCATTAATTGAAATTAAAGAAAGGTTGCTTTTCAAAAACATGTAACACAAATAACAGAACAAATTATGTGCGTGTTACCTTAGAAGAACGTAACAAGTAGCAGAACCCTGAGATAGAAATGAACATTTTAGCTCACATATATGGATTTAAAACCCATTTCCAGTGCTAATTACGGAGTTATCTTTTGACCGTTGATGTATGCATGACGACCCCTGTAGATCGCCTTCAGCCCCGCCTTGCGTGCTTGCTCCACCTTTGGCCATACGGCCAGCCGTGCCTCTCTCTCTTCCTTGGTGAGATCCTCAGCAAATTTGATGTTCAGCTCCCTGCAGATCGGGTGGCCCTTGGTGGCACGCCAGAGTTCCTCCTTGTAGGTTCTCAGCGAGAATTGTAGGATGATCTGTCGGGGACGGCCGTTGAGGGGGGTACCGAGGCGGTGGACGGTGTCCAGGATCAGTTCCACTTTTTCAGCCCAGTGTGGCAGAATCTTTATTAAAACGCCAGCTACCTTTTTTCGTGTGTCTTCATCCTTTTCTTCTTTAAGATCGTTGAGTCGCAGATTCCATCGTCGCTTGTAAGACTCTTGGTCTTCCGTCATTTTTTCAACACGGAGCAATTTGGCTGTCAGATCTAGATTTGTAGCCTTTAACAATTTAATCTCTTCAGTCATTCCTTTGTTCTTTTCTTTGAGATCTTTTATTTCACCGCTGTTGAAGTCAACCGCTTTCACAATGCTGGCAATGGTGAGAGTGTTTTGTTTTAAATCGCCTCGGAGCTCTTCAATTGAATTTTTGAGACTTTCAACTGCAGCCAAAATGACACTTGCTTCAGCGCTGATAGCAGCCTCTTCATGTCCTCTTTGTTTTTTTAAGGGCAGTGCAGCTTTACCTGGTGAAGTTAAGAGATTCTTGGTCCCCCTCAAATTGGTCTCCATAGCCTCTTGGCACGCATAGTCGTGGGGTAGCAAGGCTTTGATAGCTTTACCGTTAGCTTTGCTGTTAGCCATTCTTCAGCATGCAACCGGAGTAACTTCCAAAGTTTTCCAATGACGGTCAAAGGCGCGTTTGAGAGTAATTATTGCTTAGGAAATAGGTATTAGGTAGTTTTGTGAGTTACATAGAGCTACATCTGCTATAAATTCAGGGTTAGCTACTCAGAGCACGCTACTTCTCGGCTACCCGCTCCACCATCTTCCCTCTCGCCCCAGCAGCTGTAACCCGCTACGGGTCTCACCGCGTACGTCACTTCCACTCACACTTGTTAGCATGAAGCTAGCAGCTGTAACCCGCTACGGGTCTCACCGCGTACGTCACTTCCACTCACACTTGCTAGCATGAAGCTAGCAGCTGTAACCCGCTACGGGTCTCACAGAACCAGCCTGGCCACGGTGGGTCTGGATGTGTTTACCTGTTGTTTGGCGGTGAGAACATCCTCAGCCGCCTCTTCCACTTCAGTCAAGCGCTCCAAAACACGCAGAGAAGCGTCGTCCATCTTTGAGTCTTCTTCTTCTGGGCTAACGGTGGACTACCGCCCCCTGCTGGAGAGAGGTCACCTCCGCATCCGCCGCGAAGCTTTTCACAAATGTATTTTCAGAGGTGTGACCATAGACTGTACATACTCCACATACAAATGTTTTTCTGTATTTTTGTAAATATTCTCATCATAAACTAAATAAATAGGAAAAACATTTTCAAAAGCATGTCCAAGTGGGCTCAAATTCTTCATGTATAGCAGGTGTGACCAAGTCACTGCTTTGCAAGTCATAAGTAAGTCACAAGTCTTTCCATTCAAGTCTAAAGTCAAATCCAAGTCAAAGACAACCAAGTCCAAGTCAAGTCCTTAACTTTGAATTTTCAAGTGATAATCAAGCCATCTGTCCAACTTCTATTTAATGACGATGATAATAAATTAATTCCAGAAAAAAAACCTTCTTAAAGCTTCTTTTTTTTTGCTCAAACAAGCAGAAACTGAGACTGGTTATAAACAAAGCGCTGCTGCATTCAGCAGTAAATCAAACCCAGAACCAAGAATGATTTATGATTTTTGTCCATGTCGTGCCACTTCTGTGACAAAATATCAAACATTCTCAAGTCATCATCAAGTCAACAGATGCAAGCCGATTCAAGTCACAAGTCACTGGTGTTCAAGTCCAGTCAAATCATAAGTCTTTATAGATTTTATCAAGTCAAGTCAGAAGTCATTCAAATAATGACTCAAGTCTGACTCGAGTCCAAGTCATGTGACTCGAGTCCACACCTTTGTGTATTATAGTCAAAATGTACAAGTTACTGTGCAAAACAAACAAATTACAAATCATTTTCCTTGGACCAATAGAAAAAAGTCCATCGTTCCTGAAACTTCAGCTGAATCCCTTCCAGAAACATCTGTTATTGTCACATAAAATAAGAGTGGACTCAGCATTAACGCCTTTAAACCAAGTTTCATGATGGACAGGACTTAAAAGCAACATTACACGCACGGTGGTCACGGGTGTAATGAACTGACCAGGTTTGAAAATGGACCCAAATATTCCAGAAACAGTTTTCAGACTTTCAATTTTCCACATTTTCCTCATTCAAACGCAGCAACACTCAAATAAGTACTTTTTATACTTGTGACAGTTTAAATGTTCTTGATTTAAAGAGCATAAGTTCTGATTTGGAAGCGATAACTTTTCTTTTGGAGCCAAACTTTCCCGGTACACATCCGGTGGAGGAGACTGAGCCCAGCTTGTGGGTATAGCCTCGCTCCACAGGAGCCTCAGCTGGTCCCCCATGGGCCTGGCTCACCAGGTTAGGCTACAGTAACACTTATAGATGAAATGCTTGAGGGTTTGGGAACCTTTTAATGGTTTGAAGTTTGAGTTTAAGACTACTCATGTAAATATTAAAACTGGGCCAATGATTTAGTGTGTTTAAGTGTAATAAATGGAGGTGGGCCAGTATTTGAAAAATGATCAAAGTCAAGCTTTTTCATCTGAGGACACTGTAATGACACCCCAGCTCCACGCACCAGGCTAGTCAGAACTTCATAATAAATCAGCTTCTCTGAAACCTGCTCAGGAGGGATCTGTCTGATGGAAGAGCCTAACTGGTCTAGACTGGATTTAGCCTGTTTCCCTGTCAGCTGTGAGCGAACGATTGGGGGGGCTATGCCTGGGGGGCTCCTGGCTCTGGGAGTTTGGAGGGCTGCTCCTGGAATCCAGCTGGTGGATTAAAAATATCCGTTTGCCAAACGAGCGAGTTCAGAGGTTTGTGTGAGATGAGATGGTTGAAGTCCAGCTCCCAGGACTTTTAGGAATCTTTAATGTCCTAAAAGTATTTTATTCTGATTTATTTCATATTTCCAGATTTATGCTTCACGTTATCAAACATTACGAATTAGAACTTATCAGCAAATTAGTGTTGAAATAATCTCAACTCCTGTTTTACTCCAAAAGTTCAGCTTCTGCTTCATATGAACGCTACGAAACGAAACCACATCTAAAACCAACGTTTTTAATTAGATAACAGGAAACGTCTTTAATTCAACTAAAAAACTCTGAAGATCAAACAGCGATTTCATCTGATAACTTTGTGTTTCATGATCAAAGTTCATGTGAGTAAACGAAACAGAAGGAGCAAACATCCAGCAGGCGTTAGCTTAAAGACCCAAAGACCACAGTTTCCCGGTGTCGGTACAGTATCTGCTCGGGTGCAAGATCGGCTCAGGGTCCTTCGACTGCCGATGACGTCAAAGTACGGCAAACCCACTCGGACAAAATACACTACACATCTATACTGTTGGAAAGAATTTAGCAGTTTCGTTATTAAAATAATGTTTCTTAAGACGTAAGTTTGTGTTTATAATAGTATTTGTAAAATAAAACACTATATTTGATTCATGTTGAACTCCTCTTTGAGCACATCCCTTGAAGGATCATAGGTATTAGCAACACCTGTGGAATTGTATTTGCAGGAAAGAAGTGTGTCCCGTTTATTGAAGTATTTGTGTTTAGAGTTTTTGACGTCTTGTCCATGCGTAGTTCAGTTACGCTCATAGCTGCTAGCCAAAGCTCTGGAGTTAAAAGTTTTCTGGCTTTACTAAAATACCTGTCTGTACTTATTTGATTGATGGTAGTTTTACTTTCTATTAGACTCCAAATGTAATCATTTGGCACGTTTCTAATTCATAATTTGTAATAATGTAATCGGCGATATTAGCATTAGCATTCCTATGGGTTTTTCCATGTATATTAGCATTGCGCTAACCACTCGCTGCCAAATTGCAGCCTTTGCCATTAGAAAATCTCCTTTTGTCACATCGCAATTTAATTGCACATGCAGTTAATCGTTCAGCCCTATTATACTTGCAGCTCTATGCTAAAAGTGTATTTTCAAAGAGGTAATGATGGATTTCTTTGTAAAAGTTGTCCATCTTTCCAATAGAAAAAATTTGCCTGGACCAACGTCACGTGATAACAACGTAACGTGATTACGTCATTCCGTAAGGTTCATGTTCAGCCAATCAACTACTTAGACGTCATCGGCAGTCGACGGACCCGAGCCGATCTTGCACCCGAGCAGATCTTGTACCGACACCGGATCAGCTGTCAGCTCATCAGGACACGGGGAGAAAGCTTCATCTGTACGTTCATGCAACAAACTCCACCGCTTTGGCCCTGCCTTGCCCTGAGTTAGGGGGGCATGTGGACCTCGGGACATGGTCTCTGACTGCGGACACAGACTTTGGTTTGGTTTTGTGGTTTTTGGCGTGGGCTGCTCTGCATTCATCGCTTCGTCCTTTTCTAAACTCAGAGCCGTCCTGTCTGTTCTGATGTCTCTGAACCCCCCCTCTCCTCTGCTCAGAGCCACTCCTCCTAAACTGTCCTACTGTGGAGACATCCACCTTGGCGGCGTGGACCCTGGACTCCCTACAGGTTGAATGTGGCCTGCCGGGAGCACTTGGGACGGGGTTACGGATGTTGCCTAGTGCCTGCATCCTCCTCAGGTGGCTGCTGGTCCTAGAAGGGCTGCTCAGTCCCTGAAATGGGCGTGTCCTGTCTGACGAGTGCACCCGGCTTTCACTGTAGCTTCTTTTGGGGAGAGACGTGTGTCCCCTACTGCGATCTGGCATGGGATTCAGCCTGGAGGGACGGCCACTGGTGTGCATGGAGCGGCAGCACGACGAGCTGCAGGTGGAGCAGCGGATCCAGCAGAGCGTGCAGGCACAGCCAAAGGCAGAGTGACTGGCCAGGGAGGAGAGGAAGGTGAGGGGGAAGGCACGCTGGCACTGGAGGATGGACTTAGGCGAGCTGAGGCATGACCCGGTAGCAGCAGCTGACCTGTGGCATCCAGGTGTTACTTCTGAGACCTGCAGGCTCTCAAGCTCCTCTTGGACCGTCTGGATCTGATGCCACTCCAGCTGCAGCAGCCTCTCCAGGTATCGTTCCAAAGAGCCAACGGGCCGAGGGGCTGCTCTGCCTTCCGTGTTGTAGAAAACAGCCAGTTGACTGAGGCTCCACAGATTAAATGGTGGAGGGAGGAAGTCTGGGTAGTGGAACACCCCATGAGCCGCTCCTCTGATGCTGTGGCTGTGGGAGGAGTGGTCCTCATCCTCAATGACCTCTGGCCTGAGGTCAAGCTGCGGAGGACTACAGGAGGATGCAAGTAAACCTTTTTCAGACTCTGACATGTCTGTGTCGCTGTCCTCCACAGAGTCCTGCAGGACCTCCAGCAGCTCCGTGCTGGAACTGGGCCGGCGGTGGTTGGAGGAGGGTGCCGTGTGTTTGTCCCGTCTCCCTCCTCGTCTCTGCCTGTCCCAGCGTGGAGCCGGCCGTGGCGCCGCCGCCTCCTTCCTTCCTCCTAATGAGGGTGTTGGGCAGGAGGCCGAGGCTCCCTGAGAACTGAGCAGAGACGAAGTGAACTCATGTTTGTAATGGAAGTCTGCCCGACAACAACCACCCCCACCCCGTCACGTCTCACCTGTATGGTGGAGGTGTGCTTTTGGAGGACTGAGTGTTAGACTTGTGCTTTCTTCTTTGTGGTTCCTGGAATCACACATGAGATGTTCTATTAACGATGGGATTAAATTCAGATTTTTGCATCGTGCTTTTGTCTAGAGACATTTTCTAGAAGTCATGAGGTTCATTTATCCCAGAAAACCCGTCTTTAGCATGAACCTGTCCTTGGTCCAGCTGTCCTCTCATGGACTTTCACATTCAGTCTGCTGAGAGAAACTAGGCCTTCTCATGCTAATGTTCCTGATAACGGTCTTATAATCATCCTGATTTACCTTCTCAGGACAGCCTTCCTGCCTTGGGAACAGCTGTGGCTGGAGGGAATTCCTTTGGGACGGCCTCCTTCCCATTGTGTTGCTTAAGAGAAGCAAACAAAAGAAATCAGTTGTATGAATAACAGAATTATTGTTGCACACGGCCGGGGTAAGCAGGCATCCCACAGTCTGGTGGACTGTCCTAATCTGGCATTCTGATTGGACTTTTTACTAAAGTTCTCGTCGTTCTCGGGTCGAGGTGAGTCCTCCTCCTCAGTTAACTATCTTTGTGGTTCTGTGTTCCACAGGTGAGGAGCGGAGGGGCACCAGCTGTGCCGAGTTAATCATCTGGAGCTCGGGTTTAAAAGGAGGATGGAGACATGTTTGCTTCTAGTAGTTTGCTCTCGCGTGTTGGATTATCTGGATTTTGGACCTTGGACAGTTATTTGGATTACGATTTTGAACTTGCTCCTGAAACCCGGTTCTGTTTGCCCTCCTAGGATTTTTCACCACACCTTCACTATTCAGCTAAAGAACTACGGATCTTCATTCCACGTCCCATCCTCCTCCTCAGCTCCTGGATCTCCCCTCTCTGCTGCCTCACCTCACGCCCGGCTGGGTCTCCATTCTCATCCACCTCTACTCCCCACTACCCCACGGCTCGCTGAGCTAGAACTTTGGACTTATGGCATTACTCGCTGGTTTTCCAGTGCTCCTTTAGTTCTCGTTTGTGAATAAAAGACTTTTATTTCTTACCTTCGGACTCCCGTGCTGATTCAGCATGTCTTGGGTTAAACGCCTTCCCCCAGTCATGGCACAAGTTGTCCTTTACTCGTATTTTAAGACGTATGCAGTGGCCTCTAGTAGGACTGAATGCCTTGTAAGTCGTACTGAAGGTAAGAAAATAAAAGCTCTGGTGCGCCTGTTTCAGGAACTAGAAGTGAGCTAGGTCAGAGTTGAGCTTAACAGCAGGATTAGGAGTCTTATTTCCTGATATTTCGGCATCTCTCCTCTGATTGGCTAACAGCAACGTAACTCTACCACTGACTCTGTTTGCTCTGAAACGCTGATATTTTATCTTCACAAACAACACAAGCCTGGAGGGGTTCTGCTGTGTGGTGGAGTTGCTAATGGTTAGCTAAACGGGCAGCTTCTACTAGCCAAGATGGTATCTGCTGTTTCCTGGATGCTATAACAGCAACAACCTTCCCCGTCACGAGCCAAGATGGGTGAGTCCATTAAAGTTAAGTGACAGCGTGACGTAGATCTGTCAGGCTTTTCTAATCCTAGAGTTTCACCGTCTGCGTTCTATCAGAAGCTAATGCAGGAGGTAGGTGTAGGAGACTATTTTCATGTTCAGCCTGCATGAAAAACTCAGAGTGACCCGTTAGAATCAGAGATGATCATTAAAAAAAATTTTTTTCATCTAAGTCCCACCTTAATAGGCAGTCTAAGTCACGCCCGCCTACTCCGGACCACGAGTCCGCAGAAGAACGAACAAATGAATGCAAGTCAATGGGGCTAAAAACGCCATTTTCTAATTCCACTTGTTGTGCGCCATGGATTTCACACATGATGTACGTGAATTTTAAAGACGCATTTTGATGCGAAGAAAGCGTTTATTTTTGAACAGGGGTAATGTTATTTTAGATTTTGTGTCCAGGAATACAAATGTGCATCACCTAATTGATGCCATCGAACCAGACACGGAGGAGAGGAGAGGAACAATGGCTGTAAGTTCAGCGAACGTCAAATCCTTCTTTAGGAGGAAAGATCCACCGTGAATCTGGCCATGTGGTAAGTAGCAGCTATGCTAGGGGAGAGGAGAATCTGTGGTGACGTCGTTTATGCGACGTACCAACGACATGTGTAGTACTCTTTATTTGTTTATTTTTATTTATTTATTTAACCAGATGAGTCGATTGAGAACTAATTCTCGACCTGGCCATGAGGCGGCAGCAACAGACACACAGATAGCTTTACACCAAAGAAACAACAGATACGATGAAAACATACAACATCAAAATAAGATTAAACTGTTAGACATAAAGACAATGGACTGTTCTCATACGTACGAGCTATCAAAACAGTCTTAAGTCCTCAGAAGAAGGCATTGATCAGAAACTATTGATTGAATTGGTAATTGAAGGTAGATGGAATGTAGGTAGTGAGCTTCAGTGATTTTTTGCAGGTCATTCCAGTCGCTGGAAGCAGCAAACTGGAATGAGGAGCTGCCAAAGGAGGTGTGAGCTTTGGGAATAACCAAGATTACGTTACTGGAGCGTCAACTGCGCTGCTTGTTGGAAGTGATGAGTAATGAGAGAAGATACGACGGGGTTGTATATGATTGATACCAATGTAACATCCTGCAGGAATGGAGGGATGGCCAGGTAACGAGTCAGTACAGATGAAGAGCAGTGAAAGGGGCACCAGTGGCAAAACGGATTGCTGAGTGATAAATGACATCTAGTTTATGAAGAAGTTTTTTCTGAAGCACTTCTCTAAATGATGTCATCGTAATCCAAGATGGGAAGCATTGTCATTTTGACCAAGGTTTGCTTTGCAGAATGAGTAAAGGATGACCTGTTGCTATAGAAACCCAATTCTTGAGTTGACTAGCCATAGTAATCATGACTGGCGTGGTCCAAGCACAGATTACTTTCATTTAAATTGAAGTACAACATATGTGTGATCCAGGGCGTAGGGCAGAGCGGATTAGCAATTAGCTCTTTTAGCCCCATTCAGGGACCCATGAGCCGACCGGAAGGGAGGAGACTATATGGTTTTTATCCACTACTGAGGCAGTTGGGGCCATATGGTTGATGTCAAGCTGAGGCCACAGCAGGTGCAGCAGGTCTACCTAATACACCTTTTAGCTCCGCCCACCAGGAGAAAGTCAGTCACAAAGAAACTGGGCATGTTTTACCACAGAAGAGGAGAAAATGCAGCTCCAGTGACCACAATCAGAGGATTTTCCCAGAAGCTGTAGTCTGGGGGAACACCTGAGGTGTAGTGAGGAACATCACCACGGAGCTCTGGGGTTGGATCTAGGTTCTGATTCGGTGCTGAGGTAAACAGAGCCAGGCTGGAAGCTTTCCCCTTCTAAGTTATTTTTGGAACATGAAGCAGTCCAGCTTTTGGTAGTGCCTCTTGACTGGTTCCGGTTCTGACTGATTAAGCAGCTGGATCTGAATAGAATCTGAAGAGTTAAACCCTGACAGGTTATAAAGATACTTACCTGTACTTGTTTTATTCGATCTGACTCGTTTTTACAGTGACTGGCATCGTATTCATGTTTATTCTGCATTATTTTACAGCATTTAGTCAGACTGACTGGGGTGCATGCTCATCACAGGAATGTCCCTCACCCTGCAGCACACAAGCATCTGCTGCCTCGCTGACCCTTACATTCCTCCTGACTGTGTGGTGATGGCAGCAGCACCTGAGCCTACCTGCCCACAGCGTTCGGCCTGCTGGAGCTGATCGAAGCTCTCTTCTCTGGCTCCCAGTCCCGGGGGGGAAGCCTCTCCACATCCTGCAGGATGCTGCCCATCCCAACGTCATCAGCAGGCAGAGAAACCGGCCACGGCACGGCAGGCGGGAGAATCCTGAATCTGGTGGGAAAACACCGAACTCTCCCTTCTTTGTTCGCTCGAGTGAGATAAACACAGAGCTGCTGTCCAGCAGAGGGCGCTGTTCCCCTTCAAACCTATAAAGATGGACGGAGCGTCTCTTTTTTTTCAATATAACTTTATTTAGCACATTTTGAACATACAATTGTAAGACATGAAACACATAAAGTATACCATTGTGGTATTACAACGAAGAGTGACAGAAATAATGGAGACATGGAGAAAAAAGGAAATAAATAAATAAATAAAAGAAAGAAAGGTTTGGAAGAGGTCAAGTCAATCGAACAGTTTCAGATGGTTGCAAATGTTGGACGAAGCGTCTCCCTCCCCCACCGTTCATGATAGTTACGTCAGCTCGTCCGCCATATTGAGAGTGGAAAGTCTCCAACTAGAAACTGGGCTAATTGAATATGGTTGTTGTACCCGTTAGTGTTCCTGGTCTCTTTCTTTCAACTGTTGGTTTTAACACACTGTTAAAAAATAAAGGGAACACAAAATAGGATGCCCTAGATCTGAATGACGTAAATATTCTGTTCTTTACATAGTGCTGACAACAAATTTAAAATAATCTATGTAAATTAATCAACCCATGGTCTGGATTTGGAGTCACATTTGGAGCTCAACCAGGACAAAACTGAAGTTTTAGTATCGGTTCTGAGGCCCAGAGAAACTATTATATTTGGATCCTTCACAACTAGTGAAGAACCTGGGTGTGATTGTTGACTCTGAGCTGTCTTTTACCCCTCACATTAAAAACGTAATGAAAATAGGCTTCTATCATCAGAAGAACATTGCCAGAGTCCTTCCTGTCCTCTCTCTGGCCAACACGGAGACGCTGATGCACGCTTTCATCACCAGAATAGACTGCTGTAATGCCTTGCTTTCTGGTCTTCCCAAAAAGAGCATCTCAGGTTTACAACTTGTATAAAATTCAGCAGCGTGTCCTGAAGACCAGGAAGCGGGAGCATATTACACCAGTCTTACAATCATTGCATTGCCCCCCCCCCCCCCCCCCCCCCCATATGTATTTGAAGTGTCTTAATGGGCTTGGACCTTCTTATCTCGCAGAAGTGCTTTTACCACATGAACCTTCTCCTCCCAAAAATCAGGACACATACCCACGGCGAGGCGTCTATCGGGACTTATCGCCCTCGTCTCTGGAACAGGCTGCCACAGGGCCTCAGAGAATGTTCATGTTTTTAAGAGCAGGCTGATGACTCACCTTTTTAGCTTAGATTTTAATTGATAATTATTAATATGGTCTGTTTAATTGCTTAACATTTTTAATTTTTACTACATTTTATGGGTTTTATTATATACATTACCGGTCAAAGGTTTTAAAATGCCCCACATTTTCCAGTTATTTATTGCAGTTTAAGTCATTTAAGTCCAATGAATAGCTTGAAATGGTACAAAGTTAAGTGTTGAACGGGTTAAAAACAGGTAAGTTTACTCAATACTGAAAAATAACGTACATTTCTGAACTATACAAAAAGGCTTTTTCAGGGAACACAGCTGTTCTGCAGCAATGGAGGTCGATCAAGCCTTGAAAGCTGGTGCTACTAATTCCCACAGGTGTTGCAACCCCCTCTGTCTGCATAAAAGCAGTGTTGGAACATAATGTGGTACCAGACCCTCGCGAGCATCAGTTGAACAGTATTGCACTGCAGATAATAGTGTGTTGCTACAAAAATGGTGAGAAAAAGGCAAGTAACAATGGAAGAGAGACAGACCATCATAACACTTAAGAATCTTTCCTACACAGAAATTGCAAAGAAAGTCAAGGTGTCAGTGAGTACAGTTTCCTTCACCATCAAAAGGCTCTCAGAAAGTGGGGCAAACTCTGACAGGAAGAGGTCTGGCAGACCCAAAGCCACAACTGCATCAGAGGACACGTTTCTGAGAGTGAAACAGATTGTGTGATAGGCAGCTCACAGGGCAACAGCTTCAAGCACAGCTTAATAGTGGTCATAGTGAGCAAGTCTCACTTTCAACTGTGAAGAGAAGACACGACGAGCTGCAGCAACTGCGGCTCTGCCACACTGTGCCACTTGAAGGCAATATGATTCTTGTGTGCCTCTACTTCAACCACAAGCTCCTCAATTTCAGCCTCAGTGAAACTGCATTTTCTAGAACTCTTGGTTGCCATGTGTTGGGGTTATTAGGAGCGAACAATTAGTAAGCTTCAACTTACTTTTGGATTCTTCAATAAATTCTGTAAATATGGGAATATTTACTGATTTATTAATTAATTAAGATATTCTTAGATATACGGGGCACCATTCCCCTTTTTCCGGGGAAAAATTGAATCCAAAACTCTTATCAGTCTTTCTTGAAGTTCGTAGAATCCTTGGAGCAGAGACTTCTCTTCGACACAACAAAGCTACTGGAGACGAAAATCTGAATTTTATAACGTTTAATTAACAATTTGTCAAATGAATAAACAGTGGCATAAATGAATAATAACCATGTGATATAATAAAAGGATGTATATTCAAAATAATGTTCAAGGTGTTTTGTGTGTATGTAGGATGTAGGAATGGGGTCCTTTGTTCTCACAAAGGAGTAGTGTGTGTGCGTGTGTATGGATTCAAAATGGAGTCTTGAATACAAGATGGCTGACTCCTTTGTCTGGCTAAAGTGTGGGTGGCAACTTGCACTTTAACTTCCAAAGCACTTAGAATCAGTAGTAACTTAACCTTAAATCACTCAAAACATTTCAAAGGATCATGCAACAACACAAAAGATTAATCACGAGTTAATATCCTTAGTTTATCAGCCTGGCCATGGCCGAACATTTAAAGATACCAAACAATGATTAATAAGCAGTTTATTCTTTCAAAATGACCCGAAGGACGAATTTGGAACGAAAGAGGAAAACACGAAGCTACTTTTTTAAGCAATAGCGCGGTTTTATTGCTTATTCTGGACTATAGAGGAAACGGGAGAAGAAAAGAATGAGAGAAAAATGAGTTTTCTGATCACCAAAAGAGCGAGGCGTCCCTCCCCCTTTTGATTTGACGGTTCTCCGTGTTTCTCCGCAGTTTTCAGCGTCATCCGCCGGTTTGATGCTTTCTCCGTTGTTTGGCTCCACGAGTGTTTCTCCACGGCTGGACACAAAGAAAACGAAGTTCCTTTTGGGCTGAGTTTGACAACTTACAGCGTTTCTGAGAGCTGGATGGAGTTGTTGTTTCCCTCCGCTGGTTCTATGTCCTCAAACATCAGCTGGAGGGGAGCAGAAACGAGCAGATCAGCGGTCCCGTGGGCTCAACTTGGCTCTTAGAGCTTCCGCGTGCTCAAAGAAGTCGGAGCGTTCGACAAGCGTGTCCTCACCGCCAGGTATCCTGGGCAAAAGAACGAGGTTTCTTTGTCTCTGCTGAAGATTTATGGTCTTAGTTCGCGGGGAAAGCTCCACGGCTTCCCGCACATGCGCAGAACGTGTTTCTGGTACTAGGCGGTAACATCACCCAATGCTTCCGTGTGCAAAGCATCATGGGAAATGAAGTTTCTTGGCGCTGATGTAATTATTTGCTTTTCAGAGCAATTTAAGCACAGTCATTTTAGAGAAAATCACTGCATAGTAATTTCCTCATGAGGTCAGACCCTCAACATTCCCCCTTTTGGTTTCGGGGATCGCGCCCAAAGCTCGATCGTCGGAAGCACAGATGGGTTTGTTCCTCATGAACGTAGGTCGACTTGATTGTCGGAAGCACAGGTGGGTTTGTCCCTTAGGACGTTGGTCTCCTTGGACGCCTTTGTCTTTGGTCTTTGTCTTTGGTCAGGCACAAAGAGGATAGGAAACGGGATAGTCCCCAACGCGCAAAACGAGAAGAAGCCACTCACGCAGGTGGTACGCAATGATGATGTCGTCCATGCGAGAGGTAGTAGTGTAGAAGGAGGAAGGTCGGTGGGCGGTTAACTCCACGAGTGGACACAAAGGCATCTCACCGCCGGCCATACAGTTCAGTTTATGGAGCACGCGGTGATGTACGAGGTCCATAGTTCGCAAACGCGCATTGACCTATGTGGTCCCAAGATTCCCCCCTTTTTGGTCCAAAGGGTGGATCAGGACAGTCTTTGGGCTAAAACAAGGACCATAAAACTAAGAGGTACTACAATGTGCTGGTGCGTCAGACAGAGTCATTGACAGACTGAGCTGGGCCGGCACATAACCACTAGTTAATATGTGACCAAGTAAGAAACAAAAATACAGAAAACCCAAAAAAAAAAAACATGTAACATATAACATCCAAGAAAATTCATAGCAACCTTGAGGTCTCATAAAATACATTCTTAGGTCATACATTCAGTGTGTAGCTTATAAAGAATGTGACATAATGCAACACTCAGATAAAAATGCGAGGTAGACTAAAGTGAGAACTACTCTTAGGGTTACAAAATAATAAAGAAAATGTTGCTCACCCCCTTTAGACAGGTGTGGTACATTCACGCTTGGAGTCTCCCCGAACGCGGTTACGAGGCACACCGTAGGTGAGCAAGTGCATCTTATCTTGGAGTTTATTAACACGCCTGTAGGCGGAATAAGCTATCACGGCCGTGATGAGCCATTCCATCCCCAGGGCGACCAATGTGCAGATTAAAGTCGTATAATCTGTGTCAATGTAGCGTCTTGGGCGTCAAAGTAAGTTCACGCGGGTTTTGTGTGAACTTAGCAAATTTGGTTCCTTCAATCAGTAATTGTTGGTCAATTTCTAAATCGAAGGCAAAGTTACAACCCCGGAAAGCGTCCATGATCTCAATCTCTGAGTCATGCTGTTCGAGGTTGAGGTGATGGAGTGTCAGGTTTCTAGTTCAAAGTGGAAATGCCTACCGTCCTTTCAAATACCAATGTTCAGCATCGACCTAAACCTATAGATGTGAGGTGTCACAATTATGGGAACGTTTAACAGGAAACCGAGTTCTAATGTTCTGCATCAACGTGAATGGGAATTGCACTACCTAGGCTGTACGCTAGGTGGATTTGTGAAAGGTGCACAGTAGAGGGGTAGCAGCTGTCAAGCTAACTTTGAGCAGGTCCAGTGGTACCAAGTACGGGGAAATACGACTTTCAACCAAGCTGTCCAGCGTGGAACTTACTTCCCTGAGCAGGTCCTACATCAAATCTCTCACCACTCATGTGTACACAATATCCTGATGTATGGTTTCAGACAAAGTCTTGATTGCACGTAGAGATTCATTAATCAGAGCAGAATGTAGGTTGACAGTTACAAGAGTGCCCTGTAAGGTTTTAGTAAGTACTTCCTGTTAGCGTTCTAGGAGGAGTTTCTCTTGGTTAGTGAAAATGACGGCGGGGGGGGGGGGCTTGGTTCTTTGTCGGTTAGTACACGTTAGTGGGTTAAACGTGCACTTTCCCCCCCTTTCCATTTCCATGCATAGAACTATGTCGAGACTACGTCTACCTCCTGCGGGGAGTCTGGTCTCTGTACCCGCGGGGATGGTTTGACGTAGGGTTTGATTTGGTTTGCATGCACCCATTTGTAGACAGGCTCCTGTCTCGCTTTGGTGATGCGTAACCTGTATGCAACTGGAGAGAGTTTTGCCACGATCTCAAATGGTCCTGACCAGCAGGGCAGGAACTTCTTAGCTTTGCGTGCCGGTTGGGCGAACCGAAAGTAGAATACTTTGTCACCCACCTCGTATTCGCGGCTGGTTGTCTTTTGGTCGTAGTAGGCTTTAGCGCCTTCTACGTTGGTCTCCAGTTTCTTCTGAGCGTGCGCGAACGTAGCTCTGAGGTGTGTTTTCAAGTCTGCCACATACTGATGAGCGGTATAGGCAGTGGCAACACTGACATCCTCTGGGTGATACAGGAGGTGCAGTGGTAGAGTCATCAGTCTGCCGGTCATCATCTCAAAGGGCGTAACCCCTGTGGATCGCTGTGGAGTGGACCGTATGGCCATCAGGACCAGAGGGAGCTTGACGTCCCAGTCCTTCCCAGTGGAGCAGACGCACTTTTTGAGCATGGAGACGACCGTGCGGTTCATCCGTTCGA